ATAATGAGTTTATATATACATACATATATATATATATATATATATATATATCCAGGTTTCGGAACCCATTTGGTCAAGCAGAATGAGTTGACAGAATAGATAACAGGGTGCCCAAAGTGGAAAAAAAAATCTAATTTCTTGTGGGATTTATCTGACTGTTTTTAGAATTTACAGCTCCAGAAACAGATAGAAAGTCAGAATAAGGCAAAGAAATAAGTTCTCAATATAAGTAAGCTGCTGTTGTTGATCTGGAGGACACTTAATTAGATAAAAGTGAAGACTGGAGGTTGCATGTGCAAGTCCTGACATACAACAAGATAGTGTCTTACCTGGCTATGTTAGGGGCAACCAAGTTGGAATGGATGAAGGTCTTGAACATAAAGATTCCTAGATGGTGTCAGAGCAAGGTGAACAGAACAAAAGCTGTCAGAACAACAGTGACAGTTATTTGTATTCTGGGCACAGAGTGTGTGATGGGAGATGGTTTGTCCAAGGGGGAGAAAAAAAAAAAAAAAAAACTATGGGAGAAAGCAGTGTTGAACAAAATATTCCACAGGTCTCCCAGGTCTCCCAGCCTCATTCGGTGTCTCAGCAGAGACCATCACCATCTCTGAGAACTTTGAAAGGAGATATTTCTCCACATTCTCCACGTTTCATTATCTCATTAAACTGATGCGCTTATGAAAGAACCCATCATCCCCAGTGGCATGGAAAGCATTGGTGATCATGTCAAGCAGCAGAAATTTGTCTGATGAACTTTCTGCACTGCTCAGTCTAGACTGATTCTCACTCTGTTAAACAGAATGGATTTTAATTATCCTAAAGATCTGAAGAGTTATAGCAAGGAACTCAATGAATAGTTCAGAAAACTTCTGATAATTTCTATTCTGCTGTTGATGGGTAATGTGGGAAAGTAGATTTCAAGCATCTAATGTGCTAATAAACTGAGACTGTAAACATACAAGCTACTGGAAGCTCATTCCATGTACAAGCATGTTAAAAGCATTCATGAAGACTTCGGAATATTGATGCAGTTACATGCTGGACTACATCCATTGTGATGTACATGCATTTTTGTCATTATGATAAAGAAATAAGTATGATATTTTTCAGTGGTATTTAGTATCCCTTATTTTTCTTTCTGAGAATTTATTCCAGTCCTTTTATACTACTTATCTATATCTTAGAACAAAACTGCAGTCTTCTACAGAGAAGCCTGATAGGGAAGACCAGTGCCTTAGTGGAGTCTCCGACACCAACTGCACGGCTTTCTTTTACTCTTTTCTCCAAGGAGGCGCCTCTGTTTTTCGCTTTATTCTCAGGATTCGTGCTACTGTTGACGAGGCAACAGCACGTGTAGAAATGCCCCCTCTATGGGATTCAAGCGTGAATGGCAAGCAAACCTTTCAAAGCCAGACATCAGGCTTATGATGAGAAAGTAGCAGTGAGAAAGCAAAAACTAAACAACTAAGCTACTGAATTCAGATCTTGGATATTTCTAAAAACAGCATGAAAATGTAACTTTATGTTAAAAAATATAGAAAGCACAGACAGCACAAAACAAAAGAAAAAGGAAGAAAAAATCTATGGGGAAATCAGACAATGATTTACAAATACCTAAAAAAGAAAAAAAAAAGAAGTCTCTGTATAATACTAAACTTGTTCACTAAGAAAAGTATCGAGTACACCTCTCGCTGTTGTACTATGCATTTGTAGATATCATTTATGGCTTACGATATCATTTTCAGCTCTGGATATCTCTTCAAGACATACAAATTATTGCTGCTATGTTTAAGCTATAGCAAACAAAAAGATTGCTCTGTTATGTGAATATGCAGTGTGAATACTATATGCTATGTCATGTGTTCCAAACAGGAATTTGGGGGTTACCTGGCAGAGGTAATCAAAACTATTATTTCTTATAATACTTGTAACAAGTAGGGCAATCTCAAACTGTGATAACTAGTCTCAGCAGGATAATAAAAAGAGAGCTAAACAAAACAAATTTAGCTAAAACCATTCTATTGAAAGAGCAGCAGGCATGCGGAAGAAGCTGCTTAGTAATACAACTGAATCGGATAGCATAAGCAAGCTTAAGAGATGGCTAGATATTTTTTATGCAGAAAGTGGATTGAAATTCAGAGCCGAAGGATATATGGTTGGGATAACTAAAAGGGGACATATTTTAACGTAAGACTCTCCCAATAACTTTTCAGGTCTCCTCCCCCCCGCCCCGACCCTGGTCTGTTCTTTCTATCAAATGTAACTGTGGAGCTTTCATTAGCATTTGATTGCTGGTGCAGCTGCTGCAGTGCTACAGACAGAATTTTTGACTATCACTTAATTTTCAAGTTCTCTAGACTCAAGTTGCTTAAAACTGTAGTTTTAAATAATGCTGGTATTCTTATTACTGCCATGGGTAAAGCTGGACTGGTGAAAATAGTTTGGAATTACATACAGAAGATTTCAAACTCAGACTAAAGTCACTTTTTAATTCAGGAAGCTGAACTCAAGATCCTGACTCTACAGTGACATCCTGATCATTTTCAAAAATATCAGAAGAGCTGCTGTCCCCTCCTAACTATCATCTTTCTAACAGCAAAGGTTGCAGTACTTTAAATAGCTTTCAAAAACAATGAACAACCCTGAAAATTTGGTACAAAATAACAAGTTCCTATCCTTGGACATGAACCAGATGATGACAGAATCGGAACTTTTGATATTGTTTCAAGTCCTACTACAGACTATTGTTTCTGGCAAGTTGTCCAAATTCTTTGCTTGGAAATTATTTTTTCTCTAAGAAAATGCAATCCTTTTCCTATCCTAATCACACACCTTATGTTTCTAAACCTCCTTCAGCCTGGCTTATCATCAGAGAAAGCAATTTTGTTTATCTGCTTTTAAAGGAGAAAAGTTACGTCAGGCTGCAGTTCCCTAATCAGACAAGCAATTGCTGATTTCACTGGAAACACCACATTACACCACCTTCATCATTGCAACGATCGGTAACCCCTGAAGGTCTTCACTGCAGGTTCAGTTTTCATAATATGCCAATGGTCTTAGCACGCACTTGAGACGGAAGAATTCATAGAACAAATGGGTATCATTAACATTTGTAATTATATTTGGGGGAAAAAAAAGAAAAAGTTTATCCCCATATACTAAACTATTGGATATTTTTTTCAGTAAAAAACACATAAGCACCTGCTGCTGTAGTTCATTGGCTGATAGTATTTAACATTCACAGTTCAATATATGTATAATAACAATCTGAGGAATTACTATGAGCCAATTGCGTCAGGCTTTTTTTGATGAATAGGACTCTTCATCCAGACATGATGACAACTGCAAGCCTCCAAATAGCTCTTTGCATTATAATGAAAAAAAAAAGCAATAGCAATAGTTGACTTGATCTGCTTACTAATGTTTTCACATTTTGACCAGGAGCAGGCTTCGTGCCATTGCATGAACTGCAATACTATGAACTCTGGCTACAGGCCTTTTCTATTAATAAATAAATAAATAAATAAAAATCTGTTTTATTTGGAGTACTAAACAATTATCCTGATCAAAACTTTTTAAAATTGTAGAATTCTTTGCTTTTTATGTAAGCATGTAGCAATCCAGAGATTTTGACTTTTTCTAATACAAAACTGAGAAACTTATATCCACAGACAGTTTCTTAAAAAAAAAAAAAAGGTTTAGTACAGCATCTTTATACAGATCAATGTCCAATTATAAGCAAAGAGTGGCTGTGGCAAAAGGTCAGGAAAAATTAATCCTTCTGGCATTTATGAGTTTGAAAACAACTCATGTGAGGTCAACCCTCCAATATACACAGAATAAATTAAGGCTGTAGCATTCTAAATATTCTGCCCAGAAAATAAATAAATAAATAAATAAATTTCAATCACAACATGATCAGAAATATGAACATATATACTTCCTGATGATTGTACTACCGACCAGACCAGGCTAGAGGCAAAATCTAGTTCCAATGAATCAACAACTAATATAAAGCTTATAAAGTATTTCTGCTCAATTATAAACATAAGTTTTCATTAAGTCTGACTGACTTACTCATTCTTTTCAAAGTCTTTAATACTGAATCATCTCCCAAGCAGCAAATGAAAATAATAGCAAATACACAAAACAATTCAAAATAATTCAGTTGTACACTTTCTTGTGGCTTTCAGCCTAGAAACAAACAAACAAAAAAAAATTCAAAGCTAGAGTGTTTGGTTTATCTGCAGCTTTTAAGAATTGTGCTTATTTTAAAATAAAAAATCTCATAATTAATTAACACATTTGGAAAAAAAAAATGAATTGGACACAGACTTTGAGGAAATAAACATACTTATTTGGTAGAATGGATGATTGTAGAGAGCATTGCTGTTCGCATGATATAAGCTGTTTAGCTATTTTACAGATGCTTATTTTTGATTCCTTCATAGGGTGTGAATGAAATTATACTGAAAATCAGATTACGCTATTATTTGACACTTCTCAAACTACCATTAATCACGAAATCAACATTACAAATTGCCGTGAAATGAAAACATCTCCTATCCATTTTCACTATTGTCTGATATCCTGAGTGTTGTCTCTTTTCCTCTTCTGCAAACTACATGAAGAGCACAAAAGACTGGGATCCTTTTTATCTGTAGTAATCCTGCCTAGTTTGAATTTTGAAATCCAGCTTTGGCAGAGGGCTGTATATAATATATTACAGGTAATGACAGCGAAGCTTACGTATATTCTAATCATTTTAGAAAAGTCTACTTTGGAAAAAAAAAAAAAACCCTTCATTTCATTATTCCCCTGATTTTTCTGAATGATAGCAAACACTCTTTGCTCTGGGCTAGCTGCAAGATTTACTGTTTTCTCTGATAGTATTATCAGAGGGCTATTCTGCCCTGATAAACTGCCACTGCAATACTAATGGGTTTATAATGATTGCTTAAACTTTACACTCTGCAAGCATGGGAGGCTTCACTCACCTTGTTCAAGTGGCTGGCTTTTAGTTGAAGCAGTTTTCATCTTGAGTGCCTCCCTAACAGACATGTCACAGCAGGAGCCTTTGTTAGTGTCTTGGTCACTGTCAGCCTGATCACTGTCCCCATGCCCGCTGTCCCTCAAGCTGGCTCTTTCTGGATCCTTGAACGTGGAGCTACTGAAATACATATTAAAAAAAAAAAAAGAAAAAAAGGAAAAGAAAATAAAAAGAGAGAAAGAGAAAAAAGAAAGATAGAGTTGTATTTACTTGTTCTAAGTTGAATTGTACTCTCTGGCAAAGCAATTTTGACAAGAATGCAAATGGGGAAGCCGAGAAAGTTATTTAATAGGCCTTACCTTTGAACAAACTGCTGCCTGCTGCCCATGTAATTGGGCTCTGCGGGAAAATTGTCTGTCTGTGAAAGAGAAGGAAAAAAATACGTATAGTTGTACACTGGACAAATCTCCTGCAGAGCAACAAGATTTCCTAGAGGAGAAATGATTAATAATTCAAAATTTCCCTTAATCTTCAGATTTGTACATTTTAATTAAATTGGAAAATGCTGGCATGTAATTATGTGCTCAGAACAATTAAATGATTCCGGTCCACAAATTACCTGCTAAAGTAAACAATGAGGCTCCAGTAAGTGGCATTCTCTGTTAGCAACCTGACAGATGACACTGTTTATGTTTTTTCATTAGTTAGATATTAAGACTGATGGTTATTGAAAATGAGAGAAAAAAAGACTTTTGCATATTACAAAAGTGAATTATTCAATAATACTAATTTTTAATCATAATTACATCATCTGCTGGGATTCTGAGGCCCTTACCGCTGTAATGCAATTTCATATATTACTATATTATTTTTGAAACACAAAAACAACAAAATTAAAAAAGTTTGTGGCTTATAAGCTCTTTTTTAATGCTACTGGAGAAAATGTAAGTTTTAAAAAACATATTTTTTCTCTCTCTAATTTTCATCAGTATTAATAGCTGTATTTGAGCAATGCAAACCACATGCAAACAAGAACATTAAATGATTGTTGTAGACAAGTAGTTTTTAAAAGAAGATACTTAACTATTAAGTCTGCCATGAGTATATTTTTAGCTGCATGAGCTAAGTAACCGCAGAAGCAGAAGTATTTACAGCATCCAGCCCAACATGGAGCTCTGCCAAGGGGAACTGAATTCCCCTTGTGTCATCAGCTAAAGTTCTTTGGGAGAAAGAGAGACTGAATCTTTCACAAAACTCCATATACTGTACATTCATGCACGCCACTCCTTGCAGCTGACCTCGCGACAGAGCTCCTACTGTTTCCTGCATCACTTCATATCACGCCATTACGCTTTGCAGAAGCTCCGAGTTTTGCAACGGTGTCTAATTATTAGCACTCAATTAACGGAGCAGAGGGTCCAAGGCGAGGTTTAATGTTGCACAAGTGTTTACATAAATGAC